TGAAAAGCGTAAAAAAGTAGCGAAATAAGCCCCGCCTACTAAAAGTGATGTCATAATTAGATTCAGTGGGCGTGTCTGATCACGCCTGCAAAAAATCGGAAGTTGAAAGTCATAGCGTAAGGAAGTAGCGAAATAAGCCCTGACACCTCGGGAAGTGACGTCATATTTAGATTCAGTGGGTGTGTGTAACCAAGCCCACAAAAAATCGGAAGTTGAAAGTAAAAGCATAAGGAAGTAGCGAAATAAGCCCCACCTACCAGAAGTGACGTCATAGTTACATTCAGTGGGCGTTTCCGACCACGCCCACAAAAAATCAGAAGTTGAAAGTCAAAGCGTAAGGAGGTAGCGAAATAAACCCCGCCAACCGGATGTGACGTCATGATTAGATTAAGTGGGCGTGTCCGACCACGAGTCAGCTCGCAGTGCTCAGAAAGTCTTTCGTGATTGGTCTAACACTTGTTAATAATTAATAGAGGCTAATTATGAAAAATTGAATTATACAAGAGGTCGTTCAAAATGAATCTTCGCTGCAAATATTTTGTCAGACTGTTTTGTCACACTTGTTTATTGCCGGGTTTTAAATACTATAAGATAGGCGTAAATGTTTATACAGCACTAACATAGCGAGTGTAGCAAGCGCAGCAGTCGTAGCAAGCCTTGCAAGCGTAGCAAGCGTAGCAGTCCTAGCGGGCGTAGCAAGCCTAGCCAGCGTAGCAAGCCTAGCAAGCGTAGCAGTCGTAGCAAGCGTAGCAAGCGTAGCAAGCGTAGCAGTCGTAGCAAGCGTAGCAGTCGTAGCAAGCGTAGCAGTCGTAGCAAGCGTAGCAAGCGTAGCAAGCGTAGCAAGCGTAGCAAGCGTAGCAAGCGTAGCAAGCGTAGCAAGCGTAGCAAGCGTAGCAAGCGTAGCAAGCGTAGCAAGCGTAGCAAGCGTAGCAAGCGTAGCAAGCGTAGCAAGCGTAGCAAGCGTAGCAAGCGTAGCAAGCGTAGCAAGCGTAGCAAGCGTAGCAAGCGTAGCAAGCGTAGCAAGCGTAGCAAGCGTAGCAAGCGTAGCAAGCGTAGCAAGCGTAGCAGCGTAGCAAGCGTAGCAAGCGTAGCAAGCGTAGCAAGCGTAGCAAGCGTAGCAAGCGTAGCAAGCGTAGCAAGCGTAGCAAGCGTAGCAAGCGTAGCAAGCGTAGCAAGCGTAGCAAGCGTAGCAAGCGTAGCAAGCGTAGCAAGCGTAGCAAGCGTAGCAAGCGTAGCAAGCGTAGCAAGCGTAGCAAGCGTAGCAAGCGTAGCAAGCGTAGCAAGCGTAGCAAGCGTAGCAAGCGTAGCAAGCGTAGCAAGCGTAGCAAGCGTAGCAAGCGTAGCAAGCGTAGCAAGCGTAGCAAGCGTAGCAAGCGTAGCAAGCGTAGCAAGCGTAGCAAGCGTAGCAAGCGTAGCAAGCGTAGCAAGCGTAGCAAGCGTAGCAAGCGTAGCAAGCGTAGCAAGCGTAGCAAGCGTAGCAAGCGTAGCAAGCGTAGCAAGCGTAGCAGCGTAGCAGCGTAGCAAGCGTAGCAAGCGTAGCAAGCGTAGCAAGCGTAGCAAGCGTAGCAAGCGTAGCAAGCGTAGCAAGCGTAGCAAGCGTAGCAAGCGTAGCAAGCGTAGCAAGCGTAGCAAGCGTAGCAAGCGTAGCAAGCGTAGCAAGCGTAGCAAGCGTAGCAAGCGTAGCAAGCGTAGCAAGCGTAGCAAGCGTAGCAAGCGTAGCAAGCGTAGCAAGCGTAGCAAGCGTAGCAAGCGTAGCAAGCGTAGCAAGCGTAGCAAGCGTAGCAAGCGTAGCAAGCGTAGCAGTCGTAATACACTTTCGTTTGCTTTTTGTTTTTATTTTTCAATGTGAGAATTGAACAAGAGCAGCGTGGCCCCTTACCTCCAAAAGCAAGATGGCTGCAGCATGTGCTTGATTCAGGATTTTGGTCGGTTTTTGTCAACTAGACATTGTTATCCATATTATCACAGTTATAATAAGATTGGGGCTGTTGCTCTGGATCTGAGTAAAGCATTCAATTGTCTTCGACACGAACTTATTTTGGAAAAACTGAAATTCTATGGCTTGGGCGATAAAGCAGTAAACATTTTGCAAAGTTATGTGTCAAGTCGTAGTCAACGGGTGAAGTTAGGGGAGGCATACTCAAATTAGATGGGTGTGACAGCTGGGGTACTACATTGCAGTATTTTGGGGCCTATGCTGTTTACTGTTTTTATGAACGATTTAGCTTATGCGATCAGGAAAAGTGAGTTGCTGGGCTATGCAGATGATATTGAGATTTATCGAGGGGTGTATCACTTAAAAATCTCGTACGCCCTGTAGATAAAAAAATTCCCTAAGCTAAAGGCTAAAAAGTGCCTTAGAAGTCCATTAAAAATCACTACAAATTCCTAAAAATCCGTAAAAAGATCTAAAAATCCATATAAAGTCACAAGAATACTTTAAAAAAAATTATCACAAAAATTTGTAAAAATCCCTATCGATTTTCGAAATCCGCAAATCTCGCACACTTTTTTTTTTAACGATTCGCCCATCGCGATATCTGATATCTTTATTGATTTGATCACAAGGAACTGGCAGAAACTTAAATATACAAGACAATATCCTGAAAAACATGTTGTGTATGTGATTATTCAGTGAAAACAAAGCTGTTAACGTTAAATCGCACTCTGTAAACCTCGTAAACATACAAGAAGCAGGCGAAATATTTCGCGGAGAAAAAGCGCCTGTGGAATTAGGCCCTTAAGTTTTGCAGCAGTGAGATCAATGTTTGTGACGTCATCTGAAATGTTGCCAGGGAACGCTGACCAAGTTGTCAAGGGCAACTGTCATTTTTGTGACTATTAATACTTTTAATAATAGTAACACATCTATATAGCGATTAATAGCCGCTATTTTTGAAGTGGTCTATTTATAGCCGTTGAAAAGCTTGACATTTTTTCCCTGACAACTTGGACAGCATCACCTAGTAACATTATTAGAGGATGTCACAATTCACAAACATTGCTTTGAAATACAAAACGTACTCAAAACAATGAAACGAAATAAAACGATTGATGTTTGTATATGTATGTAACATAAAAAAACCAACAGTTTTGCTTTGAAAGCAATCATGAAGTTTGCACGTTTCACAAGTTTTACTTACACACGTTACAAGGTTTCACAGTAATATCCTCATTAAATACTTCTGCACTTCCTGCCATCATATGCTACCATGCACCTTCCGTCTCATATTACACTCCATATAGATGGTTTGTCATTAATTAAGTGTCATTAATTAAGTGTGATTAACCTTATGCCGTCATGTGATCTTCGTATGGTATATATAGCAGTTATCATATGCTTGCGTTCCCTTTCTCCTTCAACTCTTAGCAAGTTCACTATTTGGCAAGTGGGAAAGTTTGTAGACCTTTCGGCACATATATAAATGTCTGACACTGAGGTTAGTAAAGCGAGCAAGGAGATTTTTATTTTTCAATAACATTGAGAATATGGTAATTGGTATCCCTATATTAAATTGATCTTCGTTTCGTATGTAGATTGAAAGTGTTTTAACAATGTTTTGTGTGGCTGGTAAAAAAACTTACTATGGGAAAAAATTTTCCATGTTTGGGGATTTCTCGCTCAAAATATTTGGGAAGCTAAAGCTGAAAGAAGAAGAAAATTCTGCTGGGCATTGGGTTTGCTGTTGTGGTTCAGCCTCCGAAGATGAGGAAACTACGATCAGGTTTGTGTAGTGTTAAACGATATACATTTATTGTTTCTCCGCACACTGGAGTTTTTTATGCATGGTAAATACGCTCGTGCGCACAATATAGTTTTTCGTGTATAAAAACAAATGGAACTATTGAAGTTGTATATACACATTAGGGCAATATATACGAGCGAAAATAAGTCGCAGCTGAAATGACGCGTTGTTTAAACGTCACAAACAATTCGAATGAATAGGAACAGTAAATTTGTTCGCAAACTGCCGCTACAATAAGGCAAAAGTGTAAACCTAGGCCAACATAAGCTTATTGTAAATGGGATTTTTATACGAGTTCTTCGCGACTCATTAAAGTACTGGGTGGTTTCTTGTTTTAGTATGAAAATGGTCCTTTTGTGTCCTTGCGCAGACTTGTGCATTTCCATACATACGATATTAGATGTATACGATTAACAGTCACTCAATTTGAATAAACTAGACCCTATACGAAATGTATTTTAAAATATGCACATCATCGTATATAGCCAGTTTACACACTGAATATAGGCTCTAAACAACCGCGTCATTGTCCATACTAATTTCACAATGCGTTTCCAATGCAGCGGCATGTGTGATAATTAGGGCACATTATCATGGCACCTATATAGATACACATAAAATATGTATCGGGATACAAAAGTAATATTTGATAATATACTTTTTTTGCTTTGATATTAAATGAAATTATTTTCACACCTTAAGATTAATAAAAAACACAAACAGCGATTAGCAAAGGTGTAAGGAACAGGCTTACAGAAGTAGGAGGTGGAAAAATCTGGCATCGCTAAAATACCCGCGAAAGTTTTGATCGCCTTTTTCTCGAAAGAAAATTTCGCTCAGTTCTCTAAAAAAATTAGTTTTCCAGTGCTCACGTTTTGACCAATTTCTGCCAATTTCTTCTTATTTACGTTGATTAATTATAATGTGCCTGATTTTTAAGTACAAACATGTTCTTATAAATAGTTTAGAAGTAGATAGCTTTCAAAGACTACGCGAACGATACAATTGCATGTGCCATCTGGTGTTTTTTCAGACTTATCGTATTGAACGTCAATTGTTTCGACTCGAAGCAACGTTTCATTGACTCATTAAGAGCTGCTTATGGAGAAGGAACGTTCTTATTGGGGCCGCACATGACGTCAGCTGTCGTTCATTCGTACGCCTGCTACCTGAAAGAAGACTTCTCCCAACAAGAGAACAAAAGGGTTTTCCATGAAACGCGTTTCATGGGATACCAAGGGAATAATCAATACTGGATTATTTCCAATGATGTATGTTGTATTACGCTTGTATAAATATTTACCTAGTTGTGCATTTGAAAGAAAAACATAACTATTCTAAAACGAAACAACCAAAACTAGAATATTGAGATCTGTTGATTTCTAAAGTTCGCGTTTAGTTTATATCCCTTCTCCAACTGAAAGCATTTTGTTTAGCCCCTGGGAACGTTCTCTTTATTAGTTTATTTAATTATTCAATTTCAATTATTACAGGTGCATATTGAGAATGGTAAAGTGTTAGATCCAATTGATCATAAGTATCTAATATTGGACAAGTCTTTAAAAAACCACCAATTGCAAATTAACGAAAGCTTACTGAACGATTACGCAAAGTTGAATCGTTCTGTTGCAAGGTAAAAATGCGGTGTTTTTGGGCTACGAAACATCTACAGCGCACTACTAGACTTTTTTGGCCAACTATTTTCAAGTGTCACTTGGACTACATAAACGATTATACCAAATAATTTTTTAATTATATATTCATTTTTTTCTAAGGTGCATACTACTTTCGCAATGCTTGGGCCCTAATATGGACAAATTTTTGCTGGCAACAGCATTCACTGTGGCTCGGTTGCTGAGGAATGCTCTCAATCCTGAAGATGTTTGGAGTAAGTTACTGTTTGAATGAACAGGTAGCTCAATCGCGGAAAGTGAAAGACGTAAATAACTTCACTGTACAGTACTACCATAGACAGTATTACCATTTTGCAATTTCTTTTCTCATAGTTACCTTTGTTTTTAACGTCTTCGTCATTTAGGAGAGAGTTCTATTGGCATGATATTCTCCGAAGAAAGGAGCATAGGGAAATCGGAGAGTCTAAATCTCCTTGCTCAGGGTGTTGGAATTCCCAATGGATCGCACGTAATGTTACTAAGTGGTGGAGACTCCCAGACATGTGGGACATCTACGTGAGTTTCACGTTAAAATTATACGTTGTGTATAAAAAATTTTTTCGCAAATGTTTGAAAAGCAGACTTCAATTATTTTTAATAGAAAGAAAATGCAAGAGATAGCATCGAGAACGACTGGGGTCATAATGATTGATGACCCTAAACCCAATGTTAACTTCAGCGAGTTTCTGCTGCAAGCACAAGGGCGACTGATGTCTGGATTAAATAAGGTGGGGATGACATCCATCAAGGCCGCCACGTTAATATCGACGAATTCTCTCGAAGTTTCCGGGTAGTACACTTATGCAATTATTAATGAATTGTCTTTTAATTCTTAAACTGAAATTACGTTATTAACATTTAGCCTTCGAAATCTGTTTCATTGTAGATTAGTAGGGAGAGTTATTAGGTTTAATTACGTGAGCTGGAACGAGGAACAGAATGAACAAGCCAAGTTTGACGACAAGCAACTGAAGGTTATGCGAGAGTTCATGCAAGAAAACAAGGTATGTTTTAGTCTATATGGAAATGTAAACGTCGTGTACTTCAACTTAACCATAAATTATTTTAGGCTACTATACCTTCAAAATCCATGACCATATATGTCATTGTTATATAGGGTATTTTGCTTGTCTGGGCAATTAAATACCTGGAGTTATGGGCTGAGGTTTTTGAACATGCGCGTGAAATTGTCGAAGAGGTCGTCCAAGCGATCTTCGATGAAAACGACCTGAAGGTGCAGGCAAGGTGGTTGTCTTGTATTGCCGCGGTACTTGTCGCAAATGCTCTGGTATGTGAAACTCAAATAACTCGCAAAAAATAGATCGGACTAGTTTTCAATAATAGAGCTCATTTTTACATGACTTATGTTTCTCATTTAGTTACGTCTCTCGTGTGGTAACCAAGCGAACACCAAAGATTACGTATTGTTTGCATGCGGCGAGTTATTAAAGGTGCAGACAGTCAGTATACGTTCAACAATGCAAAGGCTAGAAGCTACATCATTGAAAAGATAGCCGAGGAAAAAGACCCGGTTTGTTTTCTTTCATTTTTCTATTTACAAAAAAAAAATTCCGGACAAAATAAAGTATTAAATGGCGCCATATACACAGTGTTCGATTTCCTTGGATATAACATTCACAGATTTTGCTGATCTCTTTTAAGATTCTTACATGGCTGCACCCTAAAGTTACTGTCAAAACATCGAAGGGATGAAGGTTCCAGGCATTGCGCTACTGTCAACTGCTGTCGACAGTTTTGTCGATATTTCACATACAGTGAGTAACACGTACAGTGTTGGAGTCTAACGCGGTCTTGTGACTGCATTTCACAAAATGTTTGTTGTTTTAATAGGAATTCAAAGAATTGCAAAGTACGCTTGTACGGGAGCCGGGGACAATAGGGATATACTTCGGCAAAAACAGGGAATGCACCTTGGAGCAAATGATTAAAAGGAAACACGTTTGCCAGAAAAGAGCGTACCGAATTCCTCTGGGGAAACTGATGCCATTCACGCAACATATGATAGCGTGTGGTAAGAAAGTTTTAAATAAATTTCTATGCAATTCTTTCTGGTTCGAAGTTTAGGCTTGTTTTGTATCTTGAATGTTGTTGTTCTAACAATATTACTCATTAGCCAGTGGAATTCGGGATGATGCCCCCAATGAGAGTGATGGAAGAAATCAACAATCCAGCAACAACAATATCGGACGAAGGTTGCGAAAGCTTGGACACTCTCGAAAACGAGTTGAGGATAAAGTTAGAAGGTATACAGAAATAACAGAATCAGATGAGGATTACTATTTGAGTATTTCATCAGCATATTAAATATTTTGAAACCTTTGATAACACATTTGTATAGCATTTAAAAATAGTCAAGTCATGCAATATCGCGAAAATACAACTGCACCTACCGAAAGTGAAGAGGAGCTCGACTTCAGTTTTACAGAGGTATGCAGGCTTACTCAGTTAGGAGATTGTATGAGCAGTTTAACGACTTGTCTAATCTGTGTTTCACGGTGTATCCTTGCTATTCAAATAGAAACTTACACCGAACACAAAGGCTAGATATAACAACCTGACTCCAAGAAAAAGGAAAACATTTGCTTGGGTATGTCATATTAAATTATCAAAACGAATTACTAACGAGTTTTGATGCTTTTGTAGTTTTTTTAATGTTTTTAACGATGTTATAAAGTTTTAAGCGTTACAAATTTTTCTGTGTCTAATTTACAGGCCATTGAAGTCGCGCAAAAAATAATAAAGAGACCCAAAATAGGTTCGTTTTATTTGACTTATTCAGCTTGCATGCGAATATTTATGCTCGTTACAACAGTTGCGTGCACCTAACTCAATGCAATACCTGTTTCTGCCCGGCATACAATTCATTTACGTTATTTTGCTCTTTCCAATTATATTAGATCACAATGCAACAGACGTGAGTACTTCCCAAGACAAAATTCCCGATTCAACCCCAATAGCAACTGGCGATCAAAACGTGTGCGATTAAGCAAATGAAATGCCTGCAAGAGGTAAACGATATACAATGTGTCATGTGTGGTTTGCAGGTACGATTATATAAATTACTGTATATATATAATATATATATATAACATAAATATGTCTATGCCTTTTAACTAATTACAGGTGAATCGCACGCCAGAAAGCGATTATTTGCAAAAGGTGCTATTGGCGTTCTTCCTTGGAGTAAGTAAAAGAAATTCTGATTAACAAGTAACCCGCCCACCGGAAGTGACATCATAATTAGAATAAGTGGGCGTGTCTCATCATGCCCACAAAAAATCGGAAGTTGAAAGTTAAAGCGTAAGGAACTAGCGAAATAAGCCCCGCCAACCAGAAATGACGTCATAATTAGATTAAATAGGCGTGTCTGACCTCGCCCACAAAAAATCAAAAGTTGAAAGTCAAAGCGTAAGGAAGTAGCGAAATAAGCCTCGCATACCAAAAGTGACATCATATTTATATTAAGTGTGCGTGTCTGATCACGCCCACAAAAAATCGGAAGTTGAAAGTCAAAGCATAAGGAAGTAGTAAAATAAGCCCCGCCCACAGGAATGACGTCATAATTAGATTAAGTGGGCGTGTTTGATCGTGCCAACAAAAAATTGGAAGTTGAAAGTCAAAGCATAAGGAAGTAGCAAAATAAGCCCCGTCCACTGGAAGTGACGTCATAATTAGATTAAGTAGGCATTTTTCACCACGCCCACAAAAAATCGGACGTTGAAAGTCAAAGCGTAAGGAAGTAGCGAAATAAGCCCCGCATACCGGAAGTTGCATCATAGTTAGATTAAGTCGGCGTGTCTGATCGCGCCCACAAAAAATCGGAAGTTGAAAGTCAAAGCGTAAGGAAGTAGGGAAAAAAGACCCGCCCACCGGAAGTGACATCATAATTAGATTAAGTCGGAGTGTCTCACCACGCCTACAAAAAATCGAAAGTTGAAAGTGTCTGACCACGCCCACAAAAAATTGGAATTTGAAAGTCAAAGCGTTAGGAAGTAGCGAAATAAGCCCCGCCTACCAAAAGTGATGTCATAATTAGATTAAGTTAGCGTGTCTGATCGCGCCCACAAAAAATCGGAAGTTGAAAGTCAAAGCGTAAGGAAGTAGCGAAATAAGCCCCGCCCACCAGAAGTGACATCATAAATAAATTAAGTGGGTGTGTCTGACCATTTCCACAAAAAATTGGAAGTCGAAAGTCAAGGCGTAAGAAAGTAGTGAAATAAGCCCAGCCCACCGGAAGTGACGTCATAATTAGATTAAGCTGGCGTGTCCGACCTCGCCCATAAAAAAATCAGAAGTTGAAAGTCAAAGCGTAAGGAAGTAGCAAAATAAGCCCTGCCCACCGGAAGTGACGTCGTAATTAGAATAAGTGGGTGTGTCTGACCATTACCGCAAAAAATAGAAAGTTGAAAGTCAAAGCGTAAGGAAGTAGCGAAATAAGCCCTGCCCACTGGAAGCGACGTCATAATTAGATTAAGCGGGCGTGTGTGACCACGCTCACAAAAAATTGAAAGTGGAAAGTCAAAGCGTAACGAAGTAGTGAAATAAGTCGCGCCCACCAGTAGTGACATGATAATTAGAATAAGTGGGCGTGTCTGATCACGCCCACGAAAAATCGGAAGTTGAAAGTCAAAGCGTAAGGAAGTAATGAAATAAGCCCCGCCCACCAGAAGAGACGTCATAATTAGATTAAGTGGGCGTGTCTGATCACGCCCACAAAAAATCGGAAGTTGAAAGTCAAAGCGTAAGGAAGTAGCGAAATAAGCCCTGCAGACCGGAAGTGACGTGATAATTAGATTAAGTGGGCGTGTCTTACCACGCTTTTCGAAAAACCGGAGGTCAAAAGTCAAAGCGTAAGGAGGTAGCGAAATAAGCCCCGCTGACCGGAAGTGACGTCATAATTAGATTAAGTGGGCGTGTCTGATCACGCCCATCGAAAAACCGGAAGTCAAAAGTCAAAGCATAAGAAAGTAGCGAAATAAGCCCTGCGGACTGGAAGTGACGTCATAATTAGATTCAGTGGACGTGTCGGTGATTCACAGCTTTAGGTAAAAGAAATTGTATATTACATACCAAACCCACAATATAAGGACTGCCGATGCTGTGGCTCTGTCTGTATCTACAAAGAAACAAGACAATTGCTAACACTTATATCATAGAAATGTCTTTACGGAAATATTAATTATATGTTTAATTTCAGATATACATGTTTAACTTACATAAGAAAGAACAATATATCTTAAAGCTAGGATCAAGGGCATAACAAGGAATGGCATACTGGATCATCTCTTATTGATTCAGCGTTACTACAGCAGGAAACCTACACAAACTAACTTTATTTACATTGGATAATTCTGTCAGTTCTAAACAGTTCTTCCTGCAGTAAGCAACATCTGTTGTTTAAAATCACCTACCAGCGTAACATATGTTTCGCATCATTCAACCATGAACGACGAATGATAACATCCTTGTCTGCAACAATATCACCCTGACTCTTTTCAATTTGCCCCTAGACAGGTTCAAACAACAGATATAAAGCCCAAGATGATAAGAAGCACACCCAAGATTGGAGTTACCAGAAACACATCAAGTAATAACATGTTTATTTCACATGTTTACATACCCTGTGTTTTCTCTATTATAAAATTATTGCCACCACGAAATGCGGAAGATACATTTGAACCAAGAACATACCAAATTATTCATTAACCTACCATTTTCCTTCTTTTTTAACATATCTGACTTCTAACTCACTGTATGAAATCAGTAAAAGCTTACATAGGTGTTTATTAAGTAGTGTGCTAAGAAATGTTGTTAAGGACCAGATAACGAGGCAATAGATCATAATGAGCTTGCAACTGTATCTTTCACAAATATAGCCAAATATTGGAGCAAATATCATATAGCTTGCAATGAATATTGTCTGGAGAAGGCCTCTTAAGGCATAATTTATGCTGAAAACAGTAATTAAATAATGATTGTGTACAAAAATTATATTGCATTCACATGTGATAGCAATTCTGACAGGATTGGGTAATGATAAAGGAGTGTAATCATATCTTGTGTAATAATTGCAGTAAAATTAACCACCAGCATTTCCAAATTTTTCTTGATTGCATACAAAATATTAGTTGAATTTGAGGTTGATATTGTTATCATATTTTAACTACAATGTATAGGTTGGGATGTTATACCAGGAAATTACATGACAATTATCAATTATATGTCCGATTTTTAGAAGTCTTCACTTCAGTCTCACCATGCACAAATATTAGAGCATCTACGAAATTTTGCGAAGGTGAAGTGTCAGAAGCGATGGTTTGCAAAAGCGATGGCGTGGTTTTTCTTTGTGGTGAATGTGGTTGAATTTTCAGGATTTTTTTTTTCTTGCTCAGAGAAGTGAGAGAACGAATGGTGAAACATCATGTAATACGATAGGTAGCCCAACATTCGTGTTCTGTGCGCGTACATGCTACTCAGTGATTAGCATATATTAATTTATACTAAGGTTGGCAACTTTATCACCAATTATCAATAATGCATACATGTCAAACTTCGATAATTTGGATTCAAAACTATAGTCAAGAACCTCACCTGTGTCAACCGAAATAACAATATCAATTCCAAAGTTTGCAGTGAACCCTCGCACTTAGACCATGTGCTATCATAACTCACAGCAATCTCTGCAATATCTGACTCAACAATGACTGTGCTATTTCCATATCTACGAGACTCATCATCGGTAACTTTCAACTCTCCGCCTAATTCCCAATTATGCAAGGACTGAAATGCACTTGCTAGGTTTGAAAGTTCAATCATTCGATAACCATACTCGCCATCAAAATCCTCTCCTATCTATATCTTCACTTGTAAGCTTTCGTATTGAAGCAGTTTCATTCAGTGATGTTGACCCACATGGCATTGATGTCTATGATGAAACACACTCAGAAGAGCTACTTTGACCATTGAAGCATGATTATCTTGCTCATAAATCTGAATCCTGCAATATTAGAACAGAGTACGAAGGTATTTTATAAACAAAATCATTATCTGAGTATAATCTTTTATCCAAATTTAATAATCATCCAACAATCACTGTAAAAATAATTATACACAGTATCTCAAACTTAGATAAAATCGACAAACTTACAGGAGATATCTTCCAGTAGTTGTTTTTCAAAATATTTATTTGGTTGTCTTTTAAAAGACAATTGTTGAATGGTTTTATAAAGCTCCACTCTTCACTCTTGATGCGTCCGCCATTTTAATTTAGTTTTCTGAATACTTCATGTTGTGCAAATGAAATGGATTCACACCAAAACGAAAAATATAAACAAAGCTCGCACATGCGTAGAAGCGAAAGGAAATTGCGGTGAAGAGCGGTGGAAATTGCGGTGAAGAGCGGTGGAAATTGCGGTGAAAAGCGGTGGAAATTGCGGTGAAGAGCGGTGGAAATTGCGGTGAAGAGAGCCGAAATTGCGGTGAAGAGCGGTTGAAATTTCTTATTTTTTTTGCCTGTTTTAAAGACACGGCTTCTGCGCGTGCGCCAGCCTGGGGACTCCACGGCAAGTTGATAATCCCCCGGATTGTTCAGTCTGTTTACTTTTCGCTATTCTCAGAGGAGCGAAAAAAAAAGCGAACTGCGTCATGTCGTCGAGTAGAAAAGAATATTATGCTAGTAGAGATGCCTCTAAAGTGTATTTGTTGGGTCCTTTCCCTCGATGGAGAGCGTTTAAGGAGCAGCATAAATTGAGAACAGACAAGGATGTGGCGGATATGCTTCTTGACAGCTATCTTGCGATGAATCGTATAGTTTGGTAAGTATAAAATGATAAAACCTCTGACCTTTTTTGTGTGTTATTTGTTTACTTGATAATGCTTTTTATGTATGTGTTGAACTCACTTTAGCAATGCAGAAACGCAAACCGAAACGGTAATGGAATCAACGGATATGCCGCCAAGACGACACCTTCCAAATATTTTTCTTCTCCCAGTAAGAACATATGTTTTAAAGTGCTGCTCCAAAAACGTAAACATTTATTATTTTTTAAAATATTCGCATAAAACATTCGTATGAAATATTTTATAGTTAAAACCTCAACGCCAAGCGCGCACTCAAATCCGCGTCCATTGTCTGCTTTGTCGGATGTTAGAACATCATATTCTATCAGGTAATTTGAAACTTATTGTGATTACTGAGTTTATAATTTGAAACCCATACATGCAAAGTTTCGCGCAGAGAGTATTACTTTTTAAATACGCAATATGTGTTTATATCTCAGGTCGGGTCAGAGTGTGATTTCTGACAGTCGAACATTGACAACCAAATATGATAGTTCTGATGATGATAATGACAATTTTGGTGAACACACTATCCAGGCAGACCAGGTTTTGTCGGACGATTCTCTTGAGTAAGTGATGATGCAAAACCTCAATAATAATCTTTGTGACATTCCTACTGTAATGCTTATTGATTTAAAACATAAATATACACATTATATATCACTGAATATGGCATAAAATATTTTGTCCAATAATATCTCTTACTGCCATTTTACTGTAGTGTATGTCCCCCGGGTTTTGACGTGCCATTACTGGATGACTTGCTCAATGTGAGAATCCGTGGACATGATAGAGATGAGCCCACAGAAGATGTTGGAACCCAACAACAACAACAGCAGCAACATAAGATGACTCAACCAGAATACATCTCTACTGTGGAAGAAGTCAGTCCTGAAGATGCAATCAAGAAGGAAAAGTGTATTGTGTTTACAGACACTCTTATAGCTTTGATAACATCATTACATGGGAGTGTTTGTAAACGACAAGGATGTGGCTGTGTGTTGAGCTATAAGAAAACATATGTTGGAACATGCCTGGTCGTATCCTGGGGGTGTAGGTCTGGTCATGTTGGAGGCAGATGGGCAGCTCAACCCTCTTGCAACAAGAGCAGGCAACCTCATGCTTGCTTCTGCTTTGTTGTTGTCTGGCAATTCCTACGCCAAGGTGGGGTTGATGTTCAACTTCTGTAATCTGCAGTATTTCTCATCAATATTATTCAATCAGTATCAGAAGTTGTACATCATCCCTGCCATTAATGACTACTGGGAAGAACACAAACAGAAATGTTGGAAAGAAAGAGAGAACAAAGAGGTTATATTGAGTGGTGATGGAAGGAATGACTCGCCTGGCCATAGTGCACAATATTGTGCTTACAGCTTGGCTGATACAGTACCAATGATCGTGCCATACTGCAAATGAATGTGGTTGATGTGAGAGAAGCTGCTGGTAAGAGCAATAATATGGAGAGGATTGGGTTTGAAAGAGGGATGGACACACTGCTTGCATCACCAATAGTTATGAAGGAGGTGGTAACTGATGGTCATATTGAAATTGCTGCATTGATGAGTAAGTATCTACATTATAACAATATGGCAATTCCTGAAACTCTAATAGTTCAACCTGTTATAATCAATATTGTCAGACTTTCAATAATTTAACAACTTCATTTGCAGATTGATTACAATGTTATATAATTAATTGTGTTTACCCTTTAAAAGACAGTAAGGGAATATTTACAACATGCATTTGTTTATTAATTAAGCATTATTGCATTTTTTAGAAAGGGAAGAGAAATATAAGGAGGCACACATCAGAATGATGTGTGGCATGGAGCAAAGAACATTGCAAAGAAAATCACTACTGTAAGTGTTGAAGATATCAACCAGCAATTAGTTAAAAAACTTTCCTTATTTAGAATTGATTTTATTCTTTAGGCTGCTAAATCTAAAGACAATGCAGATTTGACCTTGTGGGCACCATCAATAAGGAACCATTTTTGGTATTGTTCAAAAACATGTGCTAATGACTCAAAAAATCTCAAAGTAAGATTCACATTGAAGTACTACTGGTTTTTGCAGCAATACTTATCTAGTTCGTGCAATCTGTACATACATGTGTTAATATGTAGTCACTTTATGTTGTATTTTTTATATTTTTTTAATAGGATAAGTGGATTGGTATTTTACACCATGTTGTTGATGAGCATGAGTGGGTGTTGGAGGAAGGTGTAAATGGTGGAAAATGTGAACATGATCCTCTTAATGAAAGTGAGAGAAAGAAGCCATAACTTAAGAAAGAGTCTTCTGCCCATAAAGCACTGGCAAAGATCATTCTGGACACTTGCTTTTTAAACACTTTGGTGTATTATGTTAACTTCAGGTAACAAATGAGATTGGATATTTGAAAATTTCAGATAAGTTATATCATCTCAAAGTTTGAAATATTTTTTAGGCACACAGGATTTTTAGAGTCCTTTCATAATGTAATTTTGATGTATGCTCCAAAGCGCCATGCCTATTCGTAAGTATATGACATATTATTACAAAGGTAACAGCTAATAAAACTCCTATCATGGTTGATTTCCATGCAAGGAAGCATTGTTAATAAAAGAATAATGATGTTTGTTGTATCTTCAGATACTCAGTATACCAAGCTAGAAACCAGCTTGCTGCCTTGGACTTTAACCACCACAGAGGCCGAGCACCAGCAACTACAGCTGATGGGAAAGAAAGGTACTGATATTGAAATTTTTGTCTTAGTGCTCCCATCCTAAGTGTGAACAACTTTTCAGGTCCTGTGCATTCTTATAGTGTAATGGTACTCATATTGTATGGAATTGTAAAGTTTTTTTTTTATTAGGTACGGTCGGAAGTTCAGTAAGCGTACACAACAGTGGTGCCGTGTTCGTGTTCTTGTACCAAAAGAATTTAGTTACATTCCTGAACTGATGCAGAAGGTTTTTATAAAGAGGATCACATCAGAAGGGAATGTAAACAAAAGACTTGGTATTCCAAGTGATGATCCTAGACAAATTGCACCCAATATTGCCCCTGTTCCTCCTCCATCAGTACAGACACTTGTCGACACACATAAAACAAGATTTTAATGGTTGTGTGTAAAATCAAGTTACTTTGGGTAGGTGGAGCCCATTAGCCATGGTAGGCAGTTCACCTAAGAGAAGGAAAACTCTAATTTCAAACCCCCAGACCCTAGGTCAGGCTGTCCATGTCGGAATCATTGATGTTATCATCATTTCATTTGTGTTTCCTAGGCATTCTGACGAGCTCTGATATAGAGCGAAACAGCCATAAATTTAAGAGCCCATTATCAATGAAATATGACACATAATATCTTAAATGGAATGTTTTATTAAATTATTATGATATATGTATAGGGTGTCCCGAAAAACTAAACACTTTGAAATTGGAAAATTAGCATTTAGATTGATGCTGATCATGCACACGGACAATTACAACAACTAAATCAGCATTACAATGTATGAAATGAAAAATTTACCCAGCTATATATTTTATTACCTTGCTGGCGCAGCCCAATTCTAAAAATGTTCACTTTGGGCCTGCTATTACATCAGACCAAAAACATATTTATGCCCACAAACATCGATTGTGGTTTATTTTGGTCTACTTTTTGGGGGCACTATTTATACTTTAAGTGCTAAATTATCTAAACACGTGCAGGCAAATATCCCCTGTACTGTCCATTAGGTGAAGGATAACGGTTACGAATAGCAACCACACAACAGCTTGGTACTACTCTCCTATTTCCTCTTCCTAATCTACCATGTTGCCATAGAACACACTGTCTATATGCAGCATGGCGAAAGTTTTCATTGTTCCTGACATTGTTCAACTCCAAAACATCTTCTCTGTATCGCATTGAGATCTCCAAAACATTCCCATCAAGGATTAGTTGACTGAAAAGATTTGTTCTTGAGATACAAGAACGTCTTGATCGGGTGCAGCATTTGTTCTCTTCTTGAGTGGGCATAATAATGCAGCACCCACACTTGCACCCAATCTGGAGCATCATTATCAGGTTCTGGGTTTGGTGGTTGGGGTTCATTTCCGCTCACAAGCTCACCATTAACAATGTCAGCAAATGCTGCTGGCTGTCTTCTTAGCAATTCAAGAGCAAGCCTTCTCAGGTTGTCTATATTCATTGCCTCAACTAGATCCTGAAATCAGCAAAAGAGTAAAATATAAGATATGCTGCATGTGGTATTATGTTTTATTGTTTTTACACAAAGGCTTTTAAGAATAATTGTATGAAATCAAGTGTTGACAAAGGCTCATCTTAATTCTTACCACTAAATGCTGCTCATGATCTGCTTGATTTTCAGCAATATTTGGCTCATCTAACAAACGCCCTCTCCCGCTACCTCTACCACGACCTCTTCCACGACCTCTTCCACGACCTCTTCCACTACCTCCCCTTCCACGTCTCTGTGAAGCAGTACCTTGCCCTCTTCCCTGACCTCTTGCTCTCCCCCTTGGACGACCTCTTCCCCTACCAC